GAGAGCTACTAAATAAGTTCTAATATAAAGAAGAACTTTTTATTCGTCGGATTATTATATAGATTAACGCCTAGTTCGGTATAAAACTCGCAACGCCGTCGTAAAGATATGAGAGTATCCTAGATTTTCTCAGACTCTACTATCCGAATATATTCTAAGTCTATTAGATTAAGGGGCGTCGAGCGTCTCCCGTCAAGCTAGAGCGAATATTAATAATAAAGACGGAGAAGATAGTCCTTAAGCCGACTTAGATTATTCTACTAATACTAATCGGTGAACTTTAGTAGGTTTAATAGGGTAATTAGGACTATAGAAAGCCGATTTTATTACTACCCTAAGCTAAGCCGCGTAAGACTTCAAATAGGTATATCTCCTAGATTAATAAATTCCTTGGATTCTTATCTCCTAGTATCTAGATTTGTCCGAGTCTTAGTAATAATATTCGGCTTAATAGTATCGGTTCTAGTGAAAGGATTATTATTAGAGTCCTCTATAAGATTAGGTTAATCTGAAGGATATGGTTTTTTGGGCTTTAGTAGGTTCGGACGAGGACTATATGACTCTCTCTCCTTTCGCTTTCGCTTCCGGATACTAGCTAGGTCGGTCTCGGACTATAGTAAGGCTCTTAATATAATAGGCCGGGGAAGAGCGCTAGCTGATAGTATAGTAACGGAATTAGATAGTATTATATCTATCTATAGAATCTAGTTAATATCGAGCTAGATATCTCGTTACCCTAGAGTAAGAGGTGACGGTAGCTCTCTTAGTATAATCGTTCTATCTTATCCGTTCCGTTTATTAACGAACCGTATTATAGCGATTACGTCTAATATCGTAATTATTCTTATCTTTATAAGGTCTTACCTTAGAACTCTAAGACGTTATATCGTTTCGTACTATACTATTCGGAGTATAACGATAGCGTTAATGTTTTTCTCGCGGGCGAAGTTAAATAGCCGACGGAGAGTATCCTATTATAGCTTTATCTTAGGAAAGTGTCGGAGATATACGTCGAAGAAGTTATCACTAAGTTCCTTTCGAGTATTCTCTCTAGCTATATCCGTAAGGATTCGATAGTCTCGATACCGACGGGATATAATCTAGACGTTCTGGAATTATTATATAAGAGTAGCACTTAACTCGACTAGAGATCTAAACCGAGAACTATCTTCGAGTGCGGATATAATCGTATAGATTACCGCTTATATTATATTTACTCTTTCTAAGATTATATTAAATAGATTTGAAATGCGACTAATTATAAGCTAGTTCGATATAGAAAGTAGATATTCGATCACTTATTAATTAATCCGAATTATATTATTATCTATATTTAGCTAGAGATTCTAAATATTTTATATAAGATCGCTTATCTAGCTAGTCTATATCTATTAGTTTTATTATTATTATTATTATAGTTATCGTCGAGTTAGTAGGCGATTTAATAGGTCGGGAGATAGTTAACTATTAGATAGTCTACGCTAGGATATACTAAGAGGAATCGAGAATAGAAACTAATATACTAGATAAGCGCGAGAACGAAGAGATTAGTATATAAGAGATAAGATAGATAAAATTAATAGTTAGAAGAAGAAGATAATTATAGGCGAAATTAGGTCGGATCTATCTCTTTAGAGGAGAGATCACGAGAAAGTAACGCTTTTAATAAAGAGATATTATTAGAAAGCGTTATCTAGTAACGCTATAAGTTAAATAATAAGTTAAGTGATTTATCTAGGATAAGTAAAGTAAATAAAAGATAAATATAGAAGTAATATATAAAAGTATATAGTAAAAGGTCTAGTCGGAAGAGTAAAGTAAGAGATAATTCGAATCTTTTATAGATCTAACCGAATTAGATCTATAAAAGATTAGTCTTCTATTAGTATTAATCTATTCTTTAAGAGATCTAGATAGATTATATCTATCAAATAATACTCTTATCGAATATTACTACTATAAGTATTAAGTTAGTAGTGCGCTTTATAGTTCTCTTCTCCCTTTCTCTATTAATTATTCTAGTAATATAAAGTAGATTAAGATCTAAAGGCTCTAATATAGCTTACTTCTTCTCTTTTAGCTACTCTCTTCCCCTACTTATCACTAGCCTTTTCGACCGAGCCTTAGGCTTACGATAGATATTACGCTATCTTTATCTTAACGATTAAAGCGTATTATTCTATATTTCTTCATTATCCGGCTATAGCTAATCTAGCTAGTTATTTAGGATTATAGATAACTTTAGCCGTTCTATCGTAGTGTCTAGAGTCTGAGAGATTTGAAGTTATAAAAGGATATTTATTAGACCTTATATATTAAGCGACTAAATATAGTCTAAAGATGAAAGAGTATATAGAAGGATTAAGATTAACGCCAGTAAAATAGACTCGGACTCTAATTAGTTAGAATCCTCCTATATATATATATAGAGTCAAAAGTAGCTCTATAATTAGTTAGTTTAACGAAGCACGAGGAAGGCCTCTCTAGACGAAGACTATACTAAGGAAGGAAGTGAGAGATAAGAATAGTATATAGGAGCGATAAATTGAACCTATAAACGGAGGATCTACCGGGGAAAGCCCGATTAATATATACGCCTACTATTAATAGATATAAGTATCCGATAGCGCCTCTCGCCTAATAGTCTCTCAATTATACTTTAATATTATAGCACTTTATTCTAAGCGAGTCTCGTAGAAAGTCTAGAATACTCTTAGTCTTCTTTATACTAGACGCCGACTTAAACGGCGAGATATTATTAACCTAAAGTAATTTACTATCCCTTTATAAGACTTTACTTCGGATTAAACGCTAGAATATCTAGATCTTAAAGAGTAATTCTACTAAGATCTCCGGCGATTTATCTAAATCCTATATCGATAATCTCCGGCGGTCGAAATATACGATACTAAGTACCTAATATAGGGACTATCGAAAACCAACCCGTTTTGACTATAAAATACTCGGACGGTATTAAAGAAATTAACCTTAAAGAGATAGTTATACTAGTTAACTAGTTCTAATATAGTACCGGTAATATAATTAAGTAAGAGCTATCTAAGAGTTTAAAGAATAGAGCGATACGGAAGACCTTTCGAGACGAGTTATAGTATTTAATAACGATACCGAAGGAAGAGGAAGACATTAGGTTATTTTTATCGCCGATTCGACGATATAATCTTACTCCGTTATTAACTCGACTCCGAGCCTATCTAATATAATAATAAGGATTATAAGTCTTATAATTAACTAGCTTAATAACTATATCTTCTATATCCCGGCCCAATAGATTATCCTCTAATCTAACCTCTAGAACGATCTTTATAGTTACGGAATATAGACGATTAAGACTTCGCTCGCGATTATAAATATAGAGACGTACGAGACGGCTCGACTCTAGCGTACGTTATCGGAGGTTCGAGTTAGTATCGAGAATCGAGTTAAGATTACCTTAAGAATCTACTAAATAATAGAGTTTGATACTAAGAGACGAGAGAAGCCGAGGAGTCTAGTTCTATCCGATCTAAGTACTTTAGAGACCGTTACGTTAGGGAGTAATCTAAAGCTAAAGAAAAGATAGCTCGATAACTTCAGCGAGGTTCTTAGGACGATTAAGAAGAGATAATAGAGATCGAGTTCGCCTAAGCGAGAGCGTTAAGGTAGCGAGCGATAATAGAAAGAGATACTATAGGAAGAGTCCGGCTACATACCTATATATTATATAGGGAGATAATAATAGCTCCTAATTAGACGGATAGAGTAGAGCGCCTTTTACTTATCTTTAAATAGACAACTATAACTAGTATCGTCTTCTATAGCCGTATACGTATCTATATAACCTAAATAGTATCTTCTTATTATCGTATATCGGTTAACTATAGTATTAATATCGCGATAAGTATAGTCTCCGACGAGGAGAGAGAAGGCTCCGGGAAGTTATCTTCTCGATCCTAGTAGGAGAGATAATCCTAGATAGCGAGGGCGATACTCTCTAGTCGAGAGAGAGACGGTAGTAAGAGCGATAATAATCTCTCCAGTCTATCGATCGCTAAGTATACCGGTCGTACTAATAGCGATAAAGGACGACCTTAATAGTTAACCTCTAAAGAACTACTAAAATTATAATAGTTATTATCCTACGTAATATTACCGCCTACGCGATAGATATTATTATCGCGGTTATTATCGCTCTCTCGGTTAGAGTAGGCTCCGTCGTCGCTCTCTCGCGGACCGAGATAATCGTCGTCCGTACCTAAGGACGGCGAGACGCGAGCGCTCGATCCTCTCGCGAGAACCTATCGAGGCGTAGTAAAGAACCGATCGAGACGAGTTTAACCTACCGTAACCGGAGCCTAGATCTTCTCGGCGGTAATAGCTCTCTCTCTAAGGAGTTTCCGTTAATACTCTCGCCGTTATATCTCCTTCTCCCGCGCGTATCGGCGACGTTCGCTCTAGCTCGCTTACCTTTTACGTCGCGCTTTCGCCTACTCGTTCCGGTCCCGTCTCCGCTAACGACGCGCGTTAATAGCGTTTAGTCCCTCCTATCGCTATCGTACTCTCGCCTCCCGTAATATTATAATAGGGAGGTTAGAGCGATAGATATAGAGTAGTATAATCTCCGGTAGGGAGGGGGGGTCACCGTCCTAACTAATCCTCGGGCGAGAGACGGGTAGTTAGAGATATTCGAAGAGGAAAGAGTAGAGAGAAGAAGAACGAGAGATACGAGGGATCGAGAGGACTTTATAGTAGGTGGTGCTACGCTCGCACGGTCCCCGTTATCGGGTTAGGTAAAACCGGGCGAGTTATATAACCCTCTCGACGCCTATTAGAGCTATAATAATAGATTAAGAGTCTTATAGTGATATATTAATATATATATATATAGAACGATATATCGTTAGTAACTAGTGTTAGTTCTATTAGAATCCCAACCCCTACGGGAATAATACCGATATGAAAGAGTTCCGTCTCTATCTAATCCCCAACTATAGTAGTATTCTATGTCGTCTCCTCCTATCATTAGTCGTAAGGGGTCCCTAGCGACGTCGTCTCCTACGGCCGCGGGGTTACGCTCCCCCCTTAGAAGTCTCGATCGCCTAAGCCCTACCGTCCTCGCCTATATCGACGCTGCCCTTATCCGACGCCTAGCGCGAGAGAAGAGCCCGCCGGTATAGTATCCCCTAGACGATATTATAAAGCTTAAGTATATTCGGTAACTATTGAGCTACCGGCTATAGAAGCTCGAGACCGAGCTTAGAGAGCCGTCGGTCGCTCGTCGAGGCCTACGCACACTAGCGTTCGGGGTCTACGCTCTAGATCTCCTAGAGATAGGCCCGTAGCGGGGGCGTCTAGAACGCCGCCTTAATGATAAAGCCGAGCGCGCCTAAGAGAGAATAGACGTCCGAGAACGGCTAGTTCCCTAGCGGGTAGACCGCGTTAGTTAGTTTAAGCGGGAGGAGATAGTTATAATAGAGTCGATAGAGACTAGATAGCGACGGAAGAGCCCTCTTCTACTATAGCTAGATCTAATCGATCCGATACTAGACCGCGAACGCGCTCTCCCCTCGCGAAACCGTCTCGTCGAGAGAGGCGAGCGCGATCTAATACGGACACTCTCGAGCGTCGTATACGCACCTCGCGAACGGGAGACCCGTTATCTAGTAGCGATAGTAGAGAGAGCCGTTCGCCTAGATCTCTAGAACTAGATCGACGATCTACGGGATTACGAGCTGTCCGGAGGGCGAGGCGGCGACGCTTTCTAAGACGTACGTATAGACGCTCTCCGGTGCACTACTCTAACTACTACTCGCTAGACTCGGCTAGTTTATAGATAAGATCGAGGACGTAGAGCGGCCGGACCCCCGAGAGTATATAGATAGGGTCGTTATAGTTATCGAGAAGGATAAGGAGGGGCGTAGCTCTCGGAGAGCTCGTAGTAGTACTGACGGGAGAGATAACGGAGAGGTCTCCCTCCTCTTAAGAGTAGTCATCCCGTCGCGGTTAATAATCGGTCGCGTAGGAGTAATAAAGTCGTCCCCTAATATAGCGAATAGTTAGGTCGCGCTTAAGGGCGGCGGTCGCGCGGCGGTCGTAAGCCGGAGGATCGACCCTTTATAGAGGTTATAGCGTTAGTCCTCCTCTCGATAGCGCCCGTACGGCCGCTCGTCGAGATAGTCCACGAGGGTCTACCGCCGACAGATCGTATGCAGGATTAGGTCGTAGAGCGTCCGCCGGCCGAGTACCGCGGCCGTACTAGAGTCGATAGTCGTCGCCGTGCGCGCTAGCCGCTATTAATCCCGAGAGGTGATGAGAAGCGTATAGTAGCCGAGCTAGCCTAGCTATCGGTAGAGACGCCCCGTCTACTAGGCGACCGTAATCGCGTCGAAACCGCCCCCGACGATCATAATGTAGTCCATCTCCGCGTCCTACCCGTAACCGAGGGCGGTCATCGCGAGGAGAGTCGCAACGCCGGCGGCGGTAAAGTCGCTTAGTAGGGCCGCCCGCGCGAGAGCGTCAAGATCCCCGTAGTAGAAGGATAGCCCTAGCGCCTCCGCGACCGCGTAACTCTCGCTCTTCGATATTATATATACGAGTATATAAGCGGCGGCGGCCGCCCCCTCTAGAATCTCGCTCCGGAGGTAGACGGCGAGCCCGCTCTTATCGTAATAGTAGACCTCCTACCGGATCCCTAAGACGTTATATAACTAGCGCACCGTCTAGAGTCGGGTCGGGTCGATCTAGGTCGCCGCGAAGAGGGGGGCCTAGACGTTAGTCGGGACTATCACGGAGAGGAAGATACGAGATACTCCGGAGGGGTAGGCCTTAACGACGTTTAGCTAGGGGCGAAACCCCTCTTAGGCCTCGAGAACTACTAGATGCGTCTCGTCGTAGATAACCTAGGCGAGGCGACCGTAACTCGCGAGGTGTTTCACGAGCGCGCGGAACTATGAGTCGCTAACCTAGGTCTCTAGAACGATAATTAGAACGTCGACGACTCGCTATATATAGCCCGGCGCGCTTACCGAGTCTATATCGATCCCCCGCCCCCGGAGGCGGGTTATTAGCTAGTCGCGGATACTATAGTAGAGGACGACGACTACCGTAGTCTCCCCCGACCGTAGGATAGCGGCGAGTTCGATAACTACTGTCTTCCCGGCTCTAGTAGAGAGCTAGACTAAGAGGTCGGTCTCGGAGAGCCGGTATATTAGGCTCTCGACCGCCTACTACTAGGCGAGCGACCGCTAGTGGAAGGAGGGGTACTAGGCGCTTAGTTTCGTCCGGATAAATCCCTATCGGTCGCGAGTCGGGGCCGCGAGAGTCGGCTCCCCGGGGGGCGTCTCGCGACGGAGACGCTTCGCTAGAGCTCTCTTATCCTCCTCTTTTACCTCCGTATCGTCGGTCGCGTCCCGTACGCGCTTAAGAGAGGCGATATCGTAACGGATCTCCTAGAGGAGATCGCGTACCGTCGGGGTCGTAGCTATCTCATCGTCGTCGGGCGGATACCGCGTCTACTTCGCCCGGGCACCGCGTTTCGGGTCCCCCGTTAGACTCGCTACGGGAAGATCCGAGTTCGCGACCCCGAGATAGCGGTACTAGACGAGCGAGGAGCGGAGAAAGACGTAAGCGACGGCGTCGGTAAACTAGTAGAGAACGTCCACACTAAGGGCGTAGTGATAGGCCTCTACCTCCCGGATATAGCCGGTCTAAAGAGTTAGGTTATCGGTCTCGATCCGCGCGCTCTCCTCGTCTTTACTCTCGGCCGTCGCGTCGGGGTCGTCGTTATCCTAACCCTTCTCCGCCCGCCCGCGCGTCACGTTCTGGAGGAGCGCGACGTAAATCTAGCGGAAGACGCGGACTCCGAATAACGCCCTTAGATAACGCTAGGTCGAGATCTAGAGGAGGGGGATAAAGTATTCGGCCGTCCACGGCCGCCCGTCCGTATACTAGACTAGAGCGGTCTAGGCGTAGAGGTCGGATATCTTATAGAGCTCGTAGAGAAGACGGTAGAAGGGTAGGATCTCGGCGATATAGGCTATCATTATCCGCCCGATCCGTCGCGGGTAGTACCGACCGATTATACGCGGGCGCTTCGTCCGCGCCTCCGCCTTATTAGCGTCGCAGAGGAAGAGTAGATATCGCGCCTTAATATAAAAGAATCGCATCGCTCTCTAGATATTAGCCTAGAGGGCCGAGATTAGCTCTAGGACGCGCGAGTCCCTACCCCCCCCGAGGAGAAAGAGGAGACCGAGATAATATAGGAACTCGCCCCGACTAGCGCGGAAGCGGACGAGAGCCTACTATCGCGCCGCTAGCGGTCGACGCTAGAGCTCGTACTAGCGGAGGGCGAGGTCCTCGCGCGCGCGGCGGATAGCGTCCTCCAGCCGCGCGCCTAGGCGGTCCGAGTTCTAGTCGACTATCGACCCCCCGTTAGTCTACTAGATTAGGTTATCGGTTAGATAGGCCGGGTCCAGAGCGTTAAGCTCGATCGCCGCGGCGCCCTCGAGGAGATTACGCAGGAGGATCTCCTCGGTCTCGTCAATTAGAGTGCGAACCTAGGCGCGGACGTCGGCGACGGCGATCCGCTAGTTCTCGTACTATAGTTAGGTTCGGTCCGGCTCCCAGTGGATTATGGGGCGACTATAGAAGTGACGGGCGACTCTTATAGCGTACGTACACTAGCTAAATATCTCGTCAAATACGCGCGGTCGGCCTAGGTGGAGATACTCGGCGTAGTACCGCTAGAGGAGGGCGGTAACGTCCGGCGCGTTACTATCCGCCTAGCGAAAGATATACTCTAGCGTTAGTACGCGGACGATAAAGATCACCTTACTTAGGACGGGGTTATACGCCTTAGCTATCTTCTAGATATAGATAACGACGCTCTACCCTTCGATCGCGAGAAAGTAGAGGAGAGGGCTCGTCTCGCGGCCCTAGCTCACTATCTGTTTGAGAATGAGGCGCGAGACGAGTAGGATCTAGTCGCCCGCGGCGGTCCGGGAGGGGGTCATCGGGGTTATATCCGTCTTCTCCTCCGAGGGGGGCGATACCTAGGCGAGCCGGCCGAGAACCTCCTAAAGAGCGGGGACAAGAACGATCCGAAACTAATAATATCGCTTATCGTCCTAGAGGGCTACGCGGACGAGGAAGAGGATAAATCTCTTCTAGACGACCGAGTAATACTAGATCCCGGTCTGGAGGCGGTTAAGGGAGATATAGCTAGCGTCGCCCTCTACCGCGTAGAGAGCGCGACAGAGGAGGATCCCGCCGGCCTACGTATAGATAGTCGCGAGTCGGTCGTCGTACTAACGGAGGAGCGTTCGTATCTTATCGCGGACTACGGCGATCGGGAAGGTATCGGTCGGGCCCGGCGCTAGACTAATAAGCGGCTGGAGGACGGTCTAGTCGAGGTCGCTAAAGGTCGCGGCCTAGTCCGTACGCTACTTCTAGAGACTCTCGCGCCCGTTAACGGACGGTCGCACGATTAACCGTTCCTTCTAGTAGCGTTCGAGTTATCGTACTAGTCGGTCGAGAGTTATCTAGAGCGGCTACTTTTACTCCTTAGCCGCCTTCGCGGCGACGCGAGGGGCGGCGGTCGGCGGCCGCTTAACGACGAAGAGATAGCGAAGAGAGCTCTAGAGATAGGATACGTAGTACGCCTAGGGCTTAAGAGTAAGAGTTGAGTAGCGCTTCTTAATCTCCCGCCGGACGATAGCGTTATTCGAACTGATAGTATACCCGTCCTACGGGTAACGGAAGCCGGAGAGATAGGGGAGATACTCGTAGTAGTCTCGCGCCTTCGCCGTCGTCTCTCTATCGTTATCGCCGACTACGAGATACTATCGCTAGATAAACTCGCGATAGATAACCCGACGGTTCTTAACCGTCGTTAGACCGGCGTAGTAGATATATAGATAATTTTCGATCGAAGCCTTCTCGGCGGAGACGCTCTTCCGATAGAGTATATATATTATTATATTCCGGGTCGGTTTATAGTAGAGAGAGTATTCCCGCCCACTAGAGAGGCGTCTCTCCGGCATTAATATCTCGAGAAGAGAGCGGCCATAGATTAGAGAGAGCGATAATAGCGGGAGAGGCGACTAATAGAAGGAAAGTAAAGATAGAGAGAAGGAGAGATACGACCGAGAGAGGGAAGGAGAGAGAGAGAAGACCTTATTTATATACTCGGAGAGCTATCGGTCGGACTCAATATATATATAGAGGTTGATCTAGGACTAGACTAAATAGTTCTTTTTCCTAACCGAGAGATTAACGTTACGGGGGGTCCTAGCGTTATAGATAGTTATTTAAATAGTCTTATATATCGCGTATTTCTCGAAAG